GTGGGGTGGGGTGGGGTGGGGAGGGGAGGGGAGGGCAATGCCACAACAGAGAAGACATGCTCCCTGGACCATTAGATGACGTTATTTCAAGAATGGGACCCAGAGCATGCCAGCTCTGCCAGATCTTACGGGTGGGCACAACTAAGGGAGAAAAACCTTTCCTCAAATAACCAGATCTTATACCAGTTTACTTACTGCTTTTAGCATTTGTCTTAACTGTGTTTACATAAAAATACTGAAGCCATTCAGCTTCACATAATCCAAAAGGCATTGGAAACAGCCAGCAAGGATTCTAAGATGTTCATATTAAACAAGTTCTTAATATCGTAACCTTTATATACCATTTTAAAAGAAACACAGTATAGTCTTTTGACAGAGCTTCCTTCCCCCATCCTGCCTTGAGACTAGCTGTTCCCTGTTTCCACACAAAGATTTCTTAATGGAGCCTGACTACCCAGTCACATCATGGTGTAGATATGGGGGGAGAATCCTGTATCATCAATCATCTCATTTATCTTTGATGGTAGAGATTTTCATTAAGGGAAGGATGTCCTGATTGCATGGTTCTTTTGATAGCCACAGTCAAGAGCATCTGTGGGGGAAGGTTAAAAAAGTCAAGATGGTGGTCACAATCCTATGACTGAAGATCTGCCCTTTTTTTACATGCATCATGGCAGATGATTCCAAGAGGTGTGTCAGCCCAGAGCAAATCAATCAATCCACCAACCTCTATCTATCTATCTATCTATCTATCTATCTATCTATCTATCTATCTATCTATCTATCTATCTGGTTTAGTTTGAATGTAATTAAAACCAAATTAATTAAACCACTAATATGACAATCCCTGTACATTTAATATTTCCCACTTTTTGCACATTAAAAATCTACAATTTAGAAGGCCATTCCTAAGGCAGAGAATGGGACAAAGGCTACCTTGGAATCTGATGCTGTACACCCTGGGAAATGGTATATTTTGAGAAAAAGTAAAGTTTAAAGCCATTGAAAATCAACTTTTGTTCATATTTCTGTTCTCAAATTCCAAGTTGTGTAGGAGGCCTGTTTCTGGCTCAGTGGTACTCAACAGTGGATCAGTAAGGAGTCACTAATGGCCATTTTGTCTCTTCTTTCTGGTTCCCTTTCTGTTGCTGCTCTTTACCGTCTTGCAGCCCAACGACACAGATGTAAGTAAGATCTAAAGACCAAAATATTCCAGAGAACCCATCTCAAAGCTTTGGTAGTTATTTTGTTACATGTGTGTGAGATGTGGAGTCAATGTTCTTCTATGTATCCAAATATTGCAGACAAATCAGACCATGTGCTGAGGACTGGGAACTGGCACAATGGAAACAGATTTAAAACTGATTAAATCTCAGATATATAAAAAGAATCTGGCCAAACACTCTACAAACTCTATGAAGAAGAAAAAAAACTTAAACTATCAATCCCAGCAGGAATCTGGCCACAATGACTATAACAAGCTCCTTAACAGACTGGTGCAGCTGAACTCAGCTTTGTATAAATACCTTTGCAAATGCAGTGATAAAATTTATTGCTCCTACCAAGTGCATGATAGTTATGCATTGCACAGCTTAAATGTGAAAGGGAAAGTAACAAAGTAACCAGTGAAAATGAAATTTATTGCTCCTACCAAGTGCATGATAGTTATGCATTGCACAGCTTAAATGTGAAAGGGAAAGTAACAAAGTAACCAGTGAAAATGAAATTTATTGCTCCTACCAAGTGCATGATAGTTATGCATTGCACAGCTTAAATGTGAAAGGGAAAGTAACAAAGTAACCAGTGAAAATGCCACCAAAGTGTGTACCAGCCACTGAGTTTTTCAGAATTCCATGATTTGATGGTATTTTTTATTGTCGAGTTGCTGATTTTTTAAAAAGATTACTTTGTCATTGACCATCAAAAATAAAAACTCTCTGGGGTGATGGGGAAGGGCAGAGGACTTTTGTCTGCCTTGTCTCCTAAAAGTAATCCTGTTCTTCCCAGACAGTTCTTTTAGTGTTTTTTACAAGCATTTAACACACTGGAAAGGAAAGCACTAAGCACTCCTAACACTATTTTAACACATATTTAGAATAGAATAAAGTCACTACTCAATATAAACAGCAGCACTTGGAATTAATGTGAAACGTATATTAACTTATTTTCAAAAAATGATAATAAGGCCATCTTAACTCTTGATTGATCAACTGATTGATTGATTATACACCAAGTCAGTGCTGAGACTTAGTGACTTATTTATAGGTTTTCTCCATGAGGATCTGTCCCTAACTTGGTCCTTCAGGTCTTCCAACAGTGCACTCATTGCCATTGTAACTGAGTCCATCCACTTTGCTGCTGGTCGTCCTCTTCTCTTTCCTTCCACCTTTCCCAGCATTACAGCCTTCTCCAGAGAGCTAGGTCTTTGCATAATGTGTAGGATCATTTGAGCCTGGTCAGTTGTGCCTCAGGTGAGAACTCTAGATTGATTAGTTCAATGATCCATTTGTTTGTTTTCTTAGCTGTCTGTGATATTCTCAGGAGTCTTCTTCAACACCAATGTTCAAAAGCATCAGTACTCTTCCTATCCTACTTCTTCAAAGTCCAATTTTCACTTCCATAGAGTGGAAATACCATTGCTTGCACTATTCTGATCTTTGTAGGTATAGACACATCACGCATCTGAATATCTTTGCTGAGGCCTGCATGGTTGTTCTATCAAACGACCATCTCAAATCATAACACAACATCAGCATAGTAAAATAGATTAAAATTAATACAGCATATTGGGATATCCAAAAAGCATTCAGTAAAATATTCTACTTAGTTCATCCCCTTGGCCATTGACCCCAATCTGATCTTGGTAGGAAGCTCTCAGTTGAATGGCTTTAGCTATAAACCTGGCAGTCTTTCTCACTTGAAGGGAGGGAGATAGGGGTCTCTATAAGCTGTCCTGTCAGTTAAAGGCTCTAAATGCTACATCCTGGCTCAGGCACATGGCTGGCAATCAAAGCGAATACATGCAATGTCTTCTATATGTGGAGCACTACATAGACATTTCCTCTCTGAATACTGTACTTGATGGAATCACCCATTTTATCATAGAATCCAGGAGCTCAAATATTGCTGTGGTTAAGGCTGCTCTTTGGCCCTATGTTAGACAGGTATTTTTCTAGCTGGAAAGTCTTTTTATTCTGGGCCAGCCATTTTAAGGATTTGATGTTAGCAATGTTGCTATGTCAGCACTAATATCCAGGGCACTCTGTCTGAACAGCTAAACACAGGCACAGAAACAGGATAAAAATAGGGTGAGGTGAATCTGTAGCTGCAGTGCAAGGAAAGAGGAAGTGGGGGAACCAAACTGGATGGAGATGTAGAAAGAAGAAAAGTTAATCGGGGAGAGAAAGAAAAAAGGAAAGGAGAGATATTACAAAAAAGATTGAAGTCTCCAGGTAAGTAAACCCTCTTAAGAGCGGCAGTCCCTACTTAAGAGGGGCTTTTCAGCAGGGATGTGCACCTGTACTAATTGCTTGTTCTCAACAATGTTTTTAGTCTTTTTCTCAAATCCAGGATGACCCCTTCTGATTCAGAGATTATAATTTTGGGGGGGAAAACCTTGTTTTCTTATCAGGTAAATACAGTATTATGAAAAGCCTAGGTTTACCCAAAGATTTACCAGCTATTTTTGTGACAGAATTATGCCATAATGGAAGTTTTCATAAGTAAAAGTGTCAACTTTTATGCAATTGCAATCCAGTCTTTTCCATAAATATCTTGCATATTACCTGTATTCCCAAATAAACAAGTATTTAAATGCTTACCAGACTCATAGTCAGTGTCACTGATAATCATTGTTATTGCTGGTGGTCAAAGTATCTGGATGGACCCAATCAGAGGAATAATCTATCTGAATAATGTGAGCAGTACTAGAATTAGATAGGAATATTCCATAAATCCAGTGGAAGTATTGGATTTCCACGGCTCAGGAAAACGCAAGCTCAAAGTAGGAGATTATTTAAACTCTTTCTCTTCTTTTACAGTGTAGTAATGTGAACGGCTTGTGTCCAATTAACTGTCGTGATGATGTAAGTTGCTAGGACTTTGATTTTGCTCAAATCTATAATTCAGTGGTTCAGGGGCAAATTTACCTGCATGCTATATGGGCAGCCTGAACCCAGCATAAGAGGAGATCCAGGATCACTATTCACTTACTGCTTATATTTGTCTTTTTTATGATGTTTTTATAAATGAGACTATGACAATAACAGATGGTCATTCATGGAGCATTCTATGACTGCTTTACCTGAAAGTGGGGTCAGAAACAGTGGATAGCAGGCTGAAAGTCCCAAACTATTGCGAGGTGAGACAGGATTGATCAGAGAAGTAAGCATTCTCTGGGGGAACTCCTCTCTTTTGTCCCCAAAGCGAAGTCATCCCTGATTCTTATGGCCTTCCAAAGGCTCAAGAAGTCCTGGCATTTTGGAGACCAATGTTAGTGCCAGTCATGGTTGTTGTTATACAAAATTATTATATTTAGAGTATTGTTTTTATTAATATTTTTCATTAGTATGTATATGCTATGACTTTAATGAAGATTGCTTGGAGTTATTCCTGGTGAAGGGGTATATAAATTTTATAAATAAGTAAAAATAGTTGTTCATAGGTCCGCCCCATTGACATAAAAAGCTAGAGACTGGAGAACCTTTTTTTTTTCTTTTGCAGTAAAAGTTGCTTTCCCTCTAGGATAACTTATGATGGGCCCAAGGAGTGAATAGATTAAAAGCAGAACCCATCCCATCTGTTTTGCCTTTCTTCCTTCCTTCCTCCTCCTCCTCTTCCTCCTCTATAGTTTATAGTTTGCTGACCAATGGAAAGATTGCTCTTGCCAGAGATCTGTCTTGAGCCTTAGATAGTTTCCAAGATCTCTTCTCATTCTTTGATTCTATAAAAGAGATGGGACTATTAACCCTTAGTCTAATTTCATGCAGTCCTCTGGGAGAGAGAAAGAAAAAAGAGGTGCCAGAAAAAGAGGGCGCATGTATTTTGATTCTGGTCTCCCCATTGCTTGCTTCAGCCTGCCTGGTATTGTCCTATAGGAATGCCTCCAACAGATTATTCCTGCAGGAATGCAGCCCGTAATATGGAAATACTGCTCTTGAAGTCTATTCTCTGACCCAAAAGTTCTCCCCAAACTTTAACTTTCTTCTGAAGATTCTGCCTTTTTTATTTCTGCAGAATCTGAATTGCTTCCTTATTGATAATAATGGATTCATACTTGTTTCCAAAATCTCCCAGCAGGTAAGAAGGAATGAATGAGTGGCTCTTTGATTTTATTTATCAGACTGAGGATGGAAGAAGGGCTAAATAAAATGGCCAAACTAAGAAATCATAACCTGTAGTTCCAAGGTCGCTCACATCTCCCCTCCTGCAAAGCCTGGTGTGCAGCTCTGAATCCCTTCAAAAAATGCTTCCTATTTTTCATATTGCAGAAACAGAGATGTATTCATTACATGTGGAGTAATTATAACAGCTGCTTTTAATCAGCTGAAATGGAAGCATCACATCAATACAACAAACTTTGTTCTTGTCCTAGCCCCACCTACTTTGTCCTACCCCATCAATTTTTGGAGTGTAACTGTATCATGGCACCCAAAGCCCTAGTGAGACAGAGCTTGCAATTAGACTACCATGGCTGAGATACCACCATCACACTTGGAAAGTGTAGGTTTTCATTGTTAGAAAGGAGGTAAGTGCAGAATTCCTTCTGTAGGGCCTTAAAAGTAAGTACCTACCCTTTAAACTATGTTCAGAAGCATATGAGTAAATACTGAAGATTTTTAAGGAACCTGTCAAACCTACTTCTACTTTGACAATGCCAAGTCAGACTAAATATATTTTGAGTAAACAGAATGTTTTGGATAGATGTCAGAGATACCCTCCACATACAAATGCATGATAATAATAGTGCAATGGCTGAAATATAATTCAAACAAAATATTCCTGTAGCAAAGTAAAGATCTGGATAATGGAAACGTGATAAAGAAAGGGAAGACGTTTGCAATGCCTTTCCAGGATCAGAACTGGAAAACACAAGAAAAGTAAGGAACCACGCTTCCTATCCCATCAGAACTTCCTTGGGCTAAGTGACCTTAAACTACAAGGAGATTTGAACAAAACAACTTAATTGCCTTGATACCTTCCATCTCAGCAGCGGCAGCACTATTTGAATAATACATCAAGTGTTCAAACTCTTTGCATTCATTGTCTCCTTCATCCTTACAAAGTAGGCCGCTATTATTATCCCGCACATTGAAGGCAACACATTATGGTTTGTCTAAAGCTTGCCTCAACCTCTAAGTGGTCTGAAGCCTCACACTTACTGTGTTCGTGCAGCATGTTCAACCAGCATATTGTACCGAATTACCCATTTTAGTATAGTATATACTATACCCATGGTATACTAAGCCATACATTAACCAACGAACTGGATTTGTTTAACAAGCCCAGTCAGCCACAAAAAGGGAAAAAAAGTTTAATCTAACAAGCTTAGCCAATTGTGGGAATGCATCTGCTATGTTTACTCAGCCTGATTACAAGAACATAGTGAGTTCAAAGTAAGCTGAAGCTTGGACTTCAGTTTTTTAATTTATTGTGTCTTACTGTGCTTTCACATTTTCCCCAAACAATTTGAGTACATACTAGAACATTACATGCTTAAAGGGTTTGCTATATAATAATGATAATCAGTACTTATTTCTGCCTTGCAGCCTGTGGCAACATTCACACAACACTGATCAACCTGGTTACTGAATTAACTCTTTTTCAGGCTCACAAAATACAGTGAACCATAAACAAGCCAACAGACTGAGTTTGCAACATGCTAAGCCACTAAAAAAACCCTATTCAAACTGAGGATAACATTAATCAATCTTAGCATGTTATGTTACTACATCTGGTGGATATTTAATTGACCTGCTTGAGAGTGTTCTGCCAAACAAAACCCATGATTTAAAAACTCTTCAGAAACTCCATTTTTATTTTTATTTTATACCTATTTCTGGTGGCAGATTGGAAAATTTTTGGGAGAAGTGGATGGCTCTGTGATGACCCAGCTCGTAAATATGGGAATGTTCAAAGAGTAAGTGTAATCATCTCTTCCTTATTCACCTCCTTTCAAAGAAGACCCTGTTTGAAGCAAAATGTTTCACAGCATAAATATAATCAAGGCAAGGGTGGAGTTGCCTTAAGGTCCATAGACACAAGAGAGCTAGCTGGATCCAAAATCTTTAAAAAAAAATGGTAATCATGTAGAATCACCACATGCCCATAGAGCAGGGTTCCTCAACCTCAGCAATTTTAAGATGAGTGGAC